ATGTCACGTCATCCTTTTTTAAATGAAAATTGAATAGTTTTGTTATTTTTTTTTTACGGAGCAAATCAGAAGCTACATTAAAAGTTTAAAGTGTTAGTTTTTTTAGATTTAAAGATTTATAATAAGAGTGTAATTCTATTAAGATTTAAAATACTAGTAATTTTTATCTTGAAAGTTAAAAATAATATTTTACCCATAGAAATCATCGATATAGACAACATTTGCACTTGAAGGACGTCGTTAAGGTAAAAGAGGCAACGCTCTTGCACGCACGCGTCCACCAGAAGAGCATGTGCACACGTGGGGGGACCCTTGTATGTGAGATCCAATAGTTTAGGGAGAAATTGCAAAAATACTATTTTTTATGTGTAAATTTGTAAAAATTATATTTAGAGGTGTTTATTTGTAAAAATGCCACTAATTATAAATTTTTAAACTATATATCTTAAAATTTTAAACACTAAAAAATGTTTTGACTCATAACCCTTTATAAACTCTTATAACTAAATCCTAATAGAACATAATTAATTCAAACATAAATAATTTTGAAAAATAGCTATTTTTATAAAAAATTCAAAAATGTGATATTTTTGTAAAGTGGCACTTTTAAATGGCATTTCTTTAAATTTATCTTTTTTTAGAGTGATTTCAACGGTGGGCCCACTCCTTTTCTCTTAGATAGACGGCTGTGATTTGCTTGCAGCATAAAGTTTTTAATTTTTTTTTTTTGCTATATGTAGATATTATTGAGGGAAAAAATAATATACATCCGTAAATTACGCACTAAAATAATTAATTTCTACAACGTCAATTTTTTTTTTCAGAACCGGCTACGATTCTCAACTACAAATTACTCTATTTAAGCATGGATCTTTATTCATAGATAAATTAAGTTACTAGTTTTGTAACATTATAATTTTTGCACATTTTATTTGATAATATAATAACGGTGATGATGGACGGACCTAACAATTTGTAAATAGAAGATTTTACCAACAGTAAGTATATATGTATAAACTTTGATGGAGGACTCAATCTACATGCATGCAACATTGGAGAACCACAACTTCTACCATTTTACGTTCTTAAACATTTTATCTCAAACTTGAGAAATTTGTTTTCTTAATTATTATGTTCTAATTAAGTAATGACACTTTCACGAATAGTTTTTTTTTATAAAAATAATCATTAGAATATTTTTCGCGTGCTTTTTACAAATGCGATGAACACAAGCTTTACAACCGCGTCAAGGAGAGCGAATTTTACAAAACAATTGAACCAACTAGCCGTATAACTAGAACTTATCCTACCGGCCACACGGAAACCCAAACTGAATTGAGAATTCATTGTATTATTGGAAAAAGAGAATACATTGTTTACCAAATAAATAAAAAAGAGAATACATTGTATTTCGTAGAAAATGTGAGATCATACCGAATGTGAAAAAACAAACCACAACATGATGTTACCCATAAACTGTTATACACCCATGATCTGCAAATAATTACAAAATATTAAAAACATCATAAACGTAAATCATCACAAATTTTCGGCGGAAACAAATAACAATCGAAAAAAGTTTCCTAAATTATAGGGTTATATACAAACGGGTACGTGGGCCATACATAGCATGTGCATGCATGTGCTTCTATCTCCTATTGCCCCCACCATTTTCCCTCTCCTTTTGAAACAAATAAAATGGACCATCTCCTTCTCCCCCTTCTCTCCCCCTTAC